CTTCACTGGTGATTCTGGAAAGATTTGTGTCTCGGCAAATGCCGCGGTGATGGCTCTTCACGAGTGCTTCTGGTAAGGTCTTGGTCTTGGCGAATGCCGCGGTGATGGCTCTTCACGAATGCATCTGGTAAGCTTATTGTCTTGGCAATTTCCGCTGTGATGGCTCTTCACCTGTGCTTCTGGCATGGTTTTTGTCTTGGCAAAGCCGCGGTGATGGCTCTTTGTGGGTTCTTCTGGTAAAGCTGTTGTCTCGCCAACTGCCGTATTGATGGCATTTCGCTGTGCTTGGAGTAAGTCTTTTCGCTAGGCAAGCGCCGCGGTGATGGCTCGTCGCCGGTGCTTCTGATAAAGTTTTTGTCTTCGCAATTGAAGCGGTAACGACTCTTCGCTGGTGCTTCTGGTAATGTTTTTGTTTTGTCAAATGATGGATCTTCGCAAGTGCTTCTGGTAAGGTTTTAGTCTTGGCAAAGGCCGCGGTGATGGCTCGTCGCCGGTGCTTTTGATAAAGTTTTTGTCTTGGCAATTGAATTGGTGATGACTTTTTGCCGGTGCTGCTTCTGGTAAGGTTTGATTTTGGTCAAGTCGATGCCGACCAGGTGCTTGGCTTCCTGGTTGTACAAGTCGTAGCGTCGCCCAAGGTCGCCCAAGACGGTGTCCTCGCTGATTTCCTCGGGGCACTTGCCATAGAGGGCTACCCGCCGATGAAGATCGTCCATGATCCATTGCTGTACCTGAGTCAAAGGCAATTTCCGAGAGGCTGGGCCGCAACAAAAGGGACTGCGGCGATGTGCTTCAAAGTCCGGGCCGAAGCATCGACTCGCCGTTGCAGTCGTTCAAAAGGAGAGAGGATAGCTTCGCCCACTATCCCCGATGGACTGCAGTCTGTCCCAGAGTGAATTCGTTTGCAGAAAACGAAGTAGTCATGGTGGTCCCGGGGCGTTCGCCCCTTCGGCCGGGCCCACCGGGGTGCTTCACTTCGGGCCACTGGTACCCTTTCCCGTCGAGGCGCTTTGATTCCTTCTCTGCAAAGTCCTTGTTCTTTTTTCTTCTTCTCCTTGTCACCTTTGCCCTGCTCCTCCGAGTCGCTATCGTCGCCACCGTCCGTCTCGCGACCTTTTCCTCGAAGATGCCGTGGTTTTTCTTGATAAAGTCGCTCGTGTTTCCACAACGACGCCGGCTCCTTGTGGCGGGTGGACACCCATTCCGTGAATGTCGCCGTGGCCAAGTGCTCCCTTGTAGCAAAGGCACTGGCATCAAATTGATCGTAACTGCGCATCAGTCGAAGCGCCTCGCACAAACCCGATGCACATGCACCGCACTGGCGTTTCTTGGAGACACCGGACAAGCGAAGCCACTTGGAGTGGAGGTCAGGAAGCCGCCCGTAGATGCCGCATGGCTAGTGTGGAACTCCTTGGCGGCCTTGACGCCCGTAATAAGGAAGTCCGAGTCCGCCGGTTCCTTCATCACAGTCACTACCTGCCGCAGGTCCAGCTGCTTCTTCCAAACCACATCGCGGTGATCCCCGAGAAGTCAGATATCTGCTTCATCTAATACCTTCGCCCGGCGCCATTCCACCATTGCATTGAACCCCACCCGCTCGACAAAGACCTCGCGCAGAACGACACCCTTGAGCGTGAGTGAAGGCCAGGCTTGTCCCGGCTCGGCGACCACCAAGAGAAGGCTTCAGGATCCAAGCGGGCCCCTTCACCCAAGATGGCAGCCTTTATCTGAGCCGCTTGAAGTTGGCCAAAGCCGCTCTGCCAATAGGATCATGAGCATACATCTTCGCAGCGATGTCGGCCGGGAAGGGGGTGGCCCGATCCGAAACCTGATGATGATGAGTCCCCAAGTTGTGTCGGGCGATTTCCAGGTCGGGGTCAAGGCCAGCCATTCATCTCCTTCGATAGGATACAGAAGGATCCGGCGGTGCCAAAAGAAGCCTTCGCCATCCAGAAGGTAGTGATCCACTATCTGAGGTCTGCCATCTTCTAAGATCCGAAGGCTGAGTTGGCCGACCTCGCTTGCCCGGACTTGCAATTAAAGACCCTGAGCCCTCCCCGTCTACCCGGGAGTCCGTCGAAATAACAGAAGTAGCTGAAGACGTCAAAGTCAGGGAGATTGGAGCCTCCGCGGTCGAATATTATTCTAGATTATCTCGCCGTCAAGCCAACCTCGAATAAGAAGAACTATCAAAATCAGATGTGTTACCCCGGACAGACGAAGTAGTCACCCCTGCCCCCAAAGTTGCCAAAGACAGGAACCTCCTCAAAGACAAGCACGGGATGTCGGGGTCGAAGATTCTCCAGGATACAGACAACGCAGGCTACGGTAGAGTATGAGATCCGTATTCGGTGGGAGCTTGAAGCTGAAAGAAGCTTGAGAATATACAAGTTCGGGCTTCATGCCTTGCAGCACGGCTTATTCAAGTTTACCTATGTCACGTTTTTTATTTATATTCACTTATCATGCAGATGGAGTGACTCTCAGAATGTTGTCTTATTTCCTCATGGTTGAATTCGAGGAGCAGCTCCGAGTGAGAGAGGGACTCCGTTTTAATAGAGAGTATTTATCGATTTGCTCTGAGAAATTAGTAGGGGCAAGAGCGTATGACTTTATAAGAAATAGCAGATATTTTTGCGGGGACCCTGACATAGATAATGAATATAAATAAATAATATACGATATTCCAATATAAGATTTCAAAATAATTCTAATATATATTCTATATTTAGATCATTAAATATTAGAAAGCCTCATTTTTTTAAATTTTCCGAAAATTTTCAGTGTCTAAATTTTTTAATAAATTTTTGAAAAATAATAATCGAAAATCGTACGCAAATTTCGAAACCGACCGAACTTCTAAGTTTTCTAGAAATTTTAGTCCCAACTAAACTAAACCGACTCGCACACCGTAAGCTATAAATTTCTCGAAAATTTTGAAATCTAAGCGCCCCGAAGCGCGCTACACCGTATAGAGCTAAATTAACCGTCGCATTTTATAGAATAGAAAATTATTTAATACGATTCCATTTTATATTAAGAAAAAGAATACGACTGAATCTTATAAACAAAATGAAAATGAATAAATGGATATATATAGAAAATCATAATATACTAGCAAAACGATTGAAAGAATAATATGATGAATTCGAAATAATACGTATCTTTATTATAATGGAAAAAATTCAAATTCCAAATAAATTCTTGTATAAAAAGAAACTTACATAATATTGAGATTAATTATTTGAATATTGAAATTAATAATTTTCGATATATCGATTAATGTATGGGTTATATTTCAAGTGAGTGCGCTTAGGGTTTGTGGGAGAAGTTCAAGCTTTCGTGGAGTATACGACTCTCGTGGCGGTATATATTATGAAGAGAATTTAGAGCCTTCCCGGCAGAATTTCGGACTTTCGTGCAAGTGCGTCGAAGCTTATTTTCGTAGGGGATCTCTAACTTTCGTGTGCGAGGATCCTTCACTTCGGCCCCAAGATGTTAGAAGTGCGTGCGGCAAAACAAAATCGTTAGACACGAACGCCCCCTAGAAAACAGACTGTTGATTCAAAAAATGTGCCCAGGGCGCGAACTACGCTAGCGAGCTCCTTTTGAACCCAGACTCTGTCAATCAGCTGGGAAGCAGCACCTCAAACCAAAGCCTTAAACTCGCAGTCCTGAACTTCAAAATCACCTGCTTGTGCGCTAAGAACGAAGATTTCAAAACACAAGTCGACTCCTTGTGCCGGGGGCAGACTCCGGGGTTTTGGAACTCTAGCAGAAATCATCACTTTGGCCCAGAGTTTAGGGTCTAGGGTAACCATTAGGAGTATGGGAAACAGAAAGTACAAATAGTTCCCAGAATTTGAATTCCTGCCTTAGGTAGCCCCCACGCTCGCAGAGCCCGAGACTTGTTCCGGCTTCTCCTTGCTTGCACTTCTTGGTTTGAACAGAACCGAGTAATCTTCTAATCCGCGATCCTAAGCCCCAGACCCCCTAAACCCTAGACCCCTACGGAAGACTACTGATTCTGTCCCATTCGTCCCCCCTAAAATCCGAGTTTAATCAGGGGCTCAGCTGCGAAGCTCCGTTCTACCAAGAAGAGCAGGCGCTGACAGAAGTCAACTTAAACGGCAACTTCCAAGGAGGAGGGTCCCCCTCGAGACCGCCAATACGGTAGAGTCTCTCTTCGAACAGCCCCGTAATTTTCAGAAACTTCTAAACCCTAAACCCACAAAGCCCTGGCTGAAGGCGGTGGCTTTGCATGCGTCCTTCTGGTCGGGGGCTTCGGCTCTGCACGTGTTGTTGGAGGTTCGGCGTAATTCTAACCTCATCTGGGTTGCTGTTAAGGAACTTAGATTACGTTACGATAATTGGGGAACCGTATTCATTACTATATATCCCCATTATGTATGGTAACCCAGATTAACACTCAGCACTTGCAGCTGTACACCTAACCCAACTGCAAAGCACCATAAATTTCCCAATAAAGCATAAGGTTGTAATTGTCTTCTAACTACGCAAGTAAACTTCTAATTGACTTATAAGCAGGAACTCTGCACCTGAAATCGCACCCCGGCAGTCTTTCTGTAAGGCTCCAAGGACTCGACTACTAGGGTTAAGGCGAAAAACCAGTCAGACAATGGGATTTTGTACCTAAATATCCTCATTTGGGTCCTTGGACCCCTAAAACTGAAATGGCACGTGCTAACTGCATTTGAAAGTTCGAGACACACACACACACAACCCCGAGCAAGCTCTGCTAGGGTTCCGCGGGGGTGGCGGACGTGGCATTGGCATTAAATACTGCATCGAGCATTCAGTTTTGCTGTGGTAGCACTGTGGCCTTAGGCTGGAAATGAATAAGCGCTGGACGCAGAACCAGCCACCAAAATACAACAGCATGTTCAGAAATCCCCTATCCCCCCTCAGCAAGGGACAGGCCTGAAGTTTCTGTTGATGTCAGTCGCAACATGTAACATGATGCCGTCAACCCGCCCCCTTGGCCCAAATGACCGATGCAATGTGTCCGCAAAAGCATCGAATGATGACCCTAGGATCTGGCAAAAGCAGCCGCCATAGCGGCTCACGAGAGTTAGGGTTCAGCAACTTCTCAGAATTAGGACGCCGTGGGCAAGTGTGAAGAATTAGGCCCCGCTTACGCTGGGGATCCAAATGACTTTGTAGACATTCTAGACTTTAGGACCCGCCGTAGGCTTGGATCCTTAAGGTACCTACCCTTGATGAGCGATACAGTATTCGGGAAGGTATTGTCAAGGGCTTTGGCTTGGATCTCGTACTTCAAGGGTAGGGTTTAGGGTTCAAAGGCATAGGTACGTGTCGCAACTCTTGAACCCATTGTGAGAACCCTTTCAAAACCTGCTGAGTACTTCTTGTGCTGCAAGTGCCGCTCCTACACCAAGTCATACTTGCAAACAAAAGCTGAACCCTGACTACATCATGAGCATCGCCAGAAGGAAGCTCCTCTTTGGTCCCTTATTGGGATCCTCTTCAAGTCCCTATAAAAGCCTTCTATAACCCTAACCTAGTCAAGGGCTCAGATTGGCAATCCTTCCCTGACGTGGACATTCCTGAGCAATGTGAGGCCTTGTCTAAACCAGGGCTACATAGGGGTCGTAACACGGGACTACATACAGGGCCACCCATGCCCTGAACCCTAAACAATCTGATCCAGTCAGGATGTGCAAGGGCCTCGCTGTTGCCAGAGGCACCTCCATAATGTGGTGGTTGGGAAACTATGGCTTCGGGGTTTTGGGGTTTAGGGTTTCGGGCGTAGGGGCTAGGACTTTGGGTCATGGGGGCTTGGGTTTTGGAGTTTTGGTTGTAAGGGTTTGCCGTAGATAAGCTTTTGAGGGAAGCGCTTATTGCTTATTGACAACTGAAAGGCCTCCGCAATACAAAGGACTTGGTTTCACTTCACCAAATTGCCACCCTGTAATGAGCACAGAAAACGTAAAGTGGCCTGGCCTCCACATCAGGGAGGCAAAAAGAAGAGCCGCCCCTATCCACAGCAGCAAGGACGAAGTCACGTTCGCCCGATAAGCCTGGGTCCAGTAAACCCTAACCCAGACAAGACCCCCAAAAAAGTATCTAAAAATTAGCTCCCAAAAAAAACAAGGCAATCCCTTTGTTAGCAGAATATGCTCCATATCATTCTTATGATCTAGTGTTCAGATGCCCTTAGAGGGGTGTGGGACACTCTGGGGGATTCGGAACCCTCGTGGGGATTAGAATTTGCTAGGCCCTAGGCCCGAAAGGACTCATGTTTGGAAGACTTTGGCCCAAAGACCACAGGATGCAAGCCGTTTAGGTCGCTTCGGAGGGCTAAGGACAGTGTAGTAAACTGTAACCCTTAGATCTAGCGGGGCTCCGGTCAGAAACCAATCTGCTCAAAGTCTTCCAGTTTTCGGTCCAGAAGCAATAGACGAGGCAATGGTACCCAGCGC